CTCATTTTCCCCTCATCATAGCTTTTCGCTTAGGCCAGAAGACTTTATTTTTTATATATTGGTTAAACAATATAAAAAATTCTATGCGGAATGCGGAATACGGAATGCGGAATGCGGAATACGGAATGTGGAATGCGGAATGCGGTGCGGTGCGGTGTGGTGTGGACTACAAGTCAAAGGCCGAGAATAGGAGAAACTGTATAGTTATATTTCGTCTCATTCTCTCGCATTCTCTCTCAATCCTACACGTTTGTCTCTTTTTCTCTTCTTATTTAGTTTCTTGGCCGTTTCATAGACCCCCTCTGCTTCGTTACACCGCCGCCTACCGCTCCGTTACATTTCTTCAAATCACACCCATTCTAAAGAAGTTTTTACTTCAAAATGAGTATCATCACAATATCGAAGTAAAGAATGAAATATAACGATATTTAAAAAAATAAATGTATTATACAATACATACATAGAAATAGAGTTAAAGATAAAGGATGTTACGTGAGTTCGGTAAGATAAAATGGTACGTGCAATATCAACCGAGAAACGTTACAATAAAGTAGAAGAAATGATTTTGAAGTTCGATAGAACGATGAAACGTATTCCGTTGTTAAACTCGATTCGGTTTTCCTTTATTTAAAAATTCATAATAGTATTCGATTCGCCTTCGGCGTTCTATTCACACACGTATATTTGTATATATATATATATATATATATATATATATATATATATATATATATATATATACTTACTTATACAATACTTATATACACATGTGTACCACATATACGTATATCTATAGAATGTATCATATAATTACATCTACATATTTATCATATACACATATCTACATATTTATTATATTCTTTTTGGTTTTCTATATACACCTATTTACTTATACCTTTACTATTTACATAGGGCCTTTACTATTTTTACATTTACCATTTTACATACATTTATCTACACACATACACACATTTTGATTATCTATGCATTGAAAAGAAAATAACACTATTTTTTATCTGGATATTTGTAAGACGAAAGAGAAAATCTGAAATATCTATAAAAACTGTACTACTCTTTGGAAAAGGAATTTCATTAAAATATCTTAGAGGCTTAGTAGTGGGAGTTAAAACTGTTGAGAACGGGGGTGGGAATGAGCATCACATCTTCCTGTGTGCCTTGGGTTTTTAATAAACAACTTTCGTTAGAAAAAAAAACCGCAAAGATAAACGAAAAAAGGATAGGAACCTCTGGCGTCTCGGTAATAAAGTTCTGAAAAAAAGCGACCATTGAGAAACAAAGAGGGGTTCTTCTTTCTTTCTCTTCTTCTTCTTCTTTTACTTATCTCTCTCTCTCTCTCTTTCTTTATATCTTTCTTTCTCATAAGTTTCTCCAAAATCTTTCGACCATTTTAACGATCGAAGTCTAAAGCAATTCTAAAGATTCTCTTTTTTCCTCCTATTAAGAGATGCCATTCGAAAAGTTCGCAACTGTGTTTTTGTTTCTTTAAAAAAAAATACATATATATGTATAGAACTCATTGATAAAATTAAAAAATAAACAAAAATGATAAATAATGATTGTGTTTTTGTACACAACATATTAAGATACATATACATATTTCTTGTTCGATTAATATTACAAAATTAATTTGAATACACGTGTCTCTTATTTCAATTAAAAATTATAATTATTGTTTATCTTTGAGAATGAAAAATACAAAAAAAAAATGAAAAGAAGTAGGTACACTTTATTTTGTTATAATTTTATTTTTTTTAATCAAAATAATATTACATCCTAAACGTGTATTCGTCGTTTTGTTAACGAATAGACAAGTAATTACACATAATTTCGTTTAATTATTAAAAAAAAATCACAGATCTATATCGGTGTCGGTAATAGCAATCATGCATACCCGTTTATTGATTTTATTTATATTCGTTCGCGGTACGTATGTGTTTATAGGAGAGTGGTGGGAGTTAGGGGGTGGGAAAATTCGAATTAAATTTATACAAAAGAATGAGAAAGTAGAAAAGAAGAAAAAGAAAAGTATTGTAATGGAATTTTCTTGAATAGTTGAAGCGGAAGTTAAGAGATGTATATCGTAATATATTCTCTAGTCAAATCGATCATCTAAGGAGAGGAGAGAGTAGTGCGATATCATTCACCAATCGAGCGAGCCAATAGCATCGGTTTAACTGTCAGCATCCAGACGTACGAGTTTCAAAGGGCGTCTAAACACGATCGTAGAATCGAACACGCGTAAACGTTGTAAGCTCAGCGATTATACACATGCGCGTGCGTTTATGCTCATTCGAGATCCTACTCTCTGCGTAATTTCGATCTTCTATCTCTCTTTCTCATTCTGTAACTAACTATCTGTCTATCTATCTATCTATATCTATATCTATCTATTTGTGTGTCTCTTTGAGTTTAATCTCGATTGAAATACACAGAGAGTGAATGTTAAGGAGAGAAGAGAGAGAGAGAAGGGGGGGAGAGGGAGAATGATTTAATCAATTTTGTAATTTCAACTTGATCTTGTTTGATTAATCATAATATGTTCGATATTTATTATCAATTTTATTTATTTGTTATATAATTTTATTTCAATTATTGAGATTATTAATATATTTGATATTTGATATTATTTTATTTTACTTTTTATTATGCTCAAATGAAATGTACGTTTTAATCTTGTCGTATTTTGATTTGATTTGATTTCTTTTTTTTAAATATGAATTTTATTTTTAATACTTTTTATATAATTTATTTATTTATTTGTTTGATAAAGTTTTATATTTTAGTAATATATTTATCGATAATTAATTTATTAATATTATTTTATTATTTGGTATATCGTTATTTTTTTGTTAACTTTAGTTTTGATTGCTTTAGAAGAGATAAGTATTCATTTTCATATACATTTTCTTTTTATTTCAATTATTTTGAAGACAAAATATTGGCATATTTATATATTTAATTATATCGTACTATATCCTTTAATGTTTTCCCATATAAAAAAATTGGAATTTTATTAATCGTACTTATTTAATTTTTTTTGTCAAAGGAATCATCTAAATCTCAAGATTACACTCATAAAGTTTCCATGAAGAATTTTCTAAACGGACTAAGAGACGCAGAAAGTAGGAAAGTAATTATTCAAACTTATCGACCGTGTTAAAATTTTCGTTTAAGATTGTAGATAGAAATACGAATGATCTTTCCCTTTGTACTTTCCTATAGATCTTTCGAGTTTTCTCGTGGCTTTAATCGATTCCTAAAAAGAAATTTGAATAGAAAATTTTCAAGACCATCGAGAGAGTAAACGTATTTTTATCTCATAAATCCATCTTTGTTAAAAAAAAAAAAAAAACTGATAACAAAATTGTATTTCTTGAAATAAAATTTCTAGATCATCAGATTTAAAAGATTTACATCAATGATTTATATCGAAAGATATCTTGTAAGAATTTAATTAAATTTAATTGAATAATTCTTACAACATAACATTATAATTTAAAAATATTTTATTTAAATTTGATTTTATATTTGTCTGAAAAAAGAAAATAATATTTAAAATTACTATAGAAAATAATATTTACTTCGAATAATAAATTTCATATAAATTCAACAATTTTCAAAATACGAAACAATTTCATCGTTTGTATTCAAAAATAAAGAAAGAAATAAAGCAAAAAGGAAAACAAAAAAAGAAAAACTAAATCAAATGAAAAAGTATGGAAAAAAAATCAAAGTTTCCTTGGAAAAAAAATTGTACATTCAACTTGGAAAGAAGCATAGAAATTTAATAGTATAATTTTTTTGGTAGCTGACCGATCTCGTAAAGAAGTTGGATGGAAAATCGTGAAGGACACGCGAGTTAACATCGAGACTTTTCTTCCTTACCCTTTTACCCTTCTCACTTCTTCCCTCTTTCTCTCTTTCTTTCTTTTTCTTTCTTTCGTTTTCTCCTTATACACTCACCCTTTCAGAAAACTCTGGCGCGCAAGTACAGTGGAGGGATAAGCTTTAGTGTGGCAGAGCAACTCGGAGGACGAAGAACGTATATACGAACGTAGGGACGGATCGATCCCGTGGCCCCTGGAAGGGGGCGCAGAGGTGCTGTAAAAGAGAGGGAGAGAGACAGAGATAGACAAATCACGCATACAAACTTTGACAGTAAAGACAAAATGAGATGGAGAATGATACACATACATTTACGAATTAAGTGAGAAAGAGAGAAAAACATACACATACACATATACGAATTAAGTATAAGAGAGAGGGAGAGAGAGAGAGTGAGGGAGAAAAGAAAATACACATACACGTATATATAAATTGAGAAAGAAAGAGAAAGAGAAACACACGTATTCACATAAACACATATCTATATATACTGAAAGAATGAGAAAGATAGAAGTGTGCGTGTAGTGTATGAGAGAGAGAGAGAAAGAAATAAACGTACACATTGATAAAAGGTGAGGGGGAAAATATACAAGGATAGGTGTATACATATATACAAGTAAACAAGTAAAATGATGATGGTGTTGGTATCATTGGTAGTGGAGGGAAAAGCAGATACCTAGTGAGAAGGATAGAAAGGTCCTGTCGGTTTAGTGCGCCGTCGCGACGCCGAGCATCGTCGAAAGCAGCCGAACTTCGTCGTGCTGCTGCTGTTTCTGTGTCTGGTGCTGCTGCTGCTGTTTCTGTTGATGGTAGAGTAGTGGTGGTGGTATTGGAAGTAAGGGTGAGTGAGGATGATGGTGATGGTGGTTGGTGGTGGTGGTGGTTGTGCTACTGCTTCTCCTCATAATTGTAGTGGGGAGATCAACCCCTCTTGCTCTATCTCTATCTTTATCTCTCTTTAACTCGTTCTCTCCCACTCATTCTCTCTCTCTCTCTCTTTCCATTCCTTCTCCTTGTTTCTCTCTCTCTCTCTTTCTCTTTCGCGTGTGGTGGGTTTGCAAAAACAAGCATACGGAGATCCCCAGTAGTAGCAGCCCGGTACGCAGAGCAGACGAGAACGTCAAACCGGTCGGCACTCGCGTTCAGGTTAAACGTGACCACGCGATTACTTCTCCTGTTGTAATTTTCCTATTTTTTTCTTGTTTTCTTCTCTATCTCTAAATTTTTCTATCCTTCAATTAATCTCTTTTTTATATTTATATTTCTTTAATTTTTTTTTCTTTTCTTTTTTTTCCAGATATTCGTATTCTTACTTTTATTTCTTCTCTCCCACCCTCTCACATTTTTTTTTTCTATTATTACTTTTTCTTTTTTTCTTTTTTACCTATACATTGTTTTCATTCGTTCGTGTTTGTTGGTAATTTTGTTTTGTTTTTCTTTTTCGGAGGTGATGGAAAGGGGTTGATCTTTGATTCCTTCTTTTGTCATCGTATTACATGCGTGCACATTCGTAATTTTTGTTTTGATTTCTGTTTTCGATATCTTCAGGATCCTGTATAAACGATCATCGTCAGATCTATATTGGAAAAAATCATTGTGTTTCTCTTTCTACGTTTTACAAACTTTTAAAGACACAACGTAGTAGAGCAGGAACTATATTCCTCCCACGTCACCTCACGTGTCTACTACGCGTGATAACACACATCGCATTATATTAAATATTCTACGTCTTACGAAGGACAAGGACACTCTTCGTTGGAATAATAAAAGAAAGAGAGAGAACGAGATAGAAAGACTAAAAACAAAATAATTCTTTTTTATTGCTTTGTTTTAAATTTTTTTTTTTTTATTTAATTTTGAGGAATATGAGAGAAATTAAAATTAAGATTGGAATAAATTTTTCCTCGAAGATGTGTTTTTATCGGATTAATTATGCTACGTGAACTTTGTCATCGTTCCATCTCTTTTCTTTCTTTCTTTATTTTATTTTTTTTTTCAAAAGAAGAGAGAGGAAAATGGAGAGAGGCATTGATTTAAAAGAATGACGTTGAGTAGAAATTGAACGAGCGATTTCTAAAGAAAAAAGAGGTTTTCAAGTGATTCGTTTAGTGCATATTTACACATGTCAAAAGTTCTTCAGTGATTCACCGATGATTAAGTGCGTTAAACGTTCAATATTTTTAGAAACAAATTGGTGTGTTATAACGAATTATAAACAATGAACAAGAAATAAACAATAAGAGAATATAACTCCCGTTGAAAAAGTACATTAAAAAAAAAAATAATAATAATAATGATAATAATATTAACGATGATAATAAAAAAAAAAGTAACATAATCATAATAAGTGACCATTATTAATATACCATTGAAGAGAATAACATTTCGTCTAATTTCGTGTTGATGATTTAACTTACAAACAGACACACACACACGTATATGTACATATGCATATGTGTTCCCAACTATAAATACGTATAACACATACATATATATATATATAAATATATATGCATGCATATGTACGTGAAGATATATGCGTGCACTTAAGTACACAGTCGTAGATAATCGTGTATCCTGATTGTCGTGTATATCCCTGTAACTCGTGCGCTAACAGGAAGGCTCCGTGTTTGTCACGTTTTCGACTAGAGAAGGGTGAGTTGAGGGTGGCGGTGGGGGTACGCTTGAAGAGGGGTTAGTTGAATCGGCGCGGAGCGTGTTTCGGACAATACAGATTATTCCGTGCACGAAGATTACTGGATGCACTGTGAGTACCAGACAAGCAACAGTATAGGATATATTACGAAAAGGCTTGCCACATTGTCGAGGGTGGTTTGTGTAGGTGTTATTAAGTGTTTGAAAAAAGAAGTGGATTTGCAACAACCTTTCGTCGGTCATTTATCCTCAAGTAAGAAATAATATTATTTTTATTCTATTACAAAAGAAATAATCGTTTTAATGTTCGTTTAATTTTTTGTTTTTTATTGTCATGTGTGACTAGGTTTTATATTATATTTGAATTATATTTAAATATGTGATAGATAGTATCGTGTGCTGGATTAAAAGAAGGATTATATTTAATTATAGTATGAGTAAAATTGTAAATTAGATTTATTGATAATTTAATAGGAGAAATTTAAATACACGATATAATTTTTTAATATATTCTAATATATATGATAAATTAAGAAATTCATATTCTAGTTTCATAATAATAAAAATAATTTTATAATAAAAATATAGACATTTTTTTAATTTGAAATGTTATTTAAAGTTGATCAAAATTTTTGTAAATTATGTTATAGGAATATATTATTATGTTAGTATAAGTTGAAGGAAATAAACTCTGATTAGAAATCTTTCATCATGAGATATAAAAGAAGGAAAAGAATTTCATGGGAAGTAGTTATAGTCTGGTAAGAGAGAGAGTATGTACAGTTTATGGGATGCACTTGGTGTAATAAGGAACATCATTAGAGCCTGGATATTATCCTTAAGGTATTTTAAAGAGCAGAATGATGGTGATACTGCAAGTGCACGACTCCCTGTCGTCCTTTTCACTACGACGAAAGTTTTCACGAATATCGCGATAACACAGGAACTTATAAGAATTTTTTAAGATATATGAACGAATGAATAAATGAATGAATGAAACCAATCTTAGTAATTAAATATATGTACGTATTATTATACGTATATTTTATATTTATAAAAAAATATGTATATATACATATATAAATTTATATATAAAGAAAAATCGTTTCTTTTTGAACGTAATATATTGCACGTTAGTTCAACTTATTCTAGAGAAAGAAAATATTTCATTCTATTTTTCTTCTCTGAAATATCATATTTGATCAAAGTCAAAAAGATAAGAAATCCACATCTTCTTGTCATTCGCATGATTACTTTACACATAAATACGTACAAACGTAAACGCGTATATAACTAATAATAAATCACGTCGTGTTATTCTTTATGACATCATTTTTATATTCTTTCATTTTCTTTAGACAAACGCCATACACTTTATTATTATTTCCTCTCTCTTTCTTTCTTCTTTCTTCTATTATCTAACAAAAGTATAAATAAAATTTAAATAATTTCGAGTGAACATAGTTAAATTGTACACAGTTGGTAATAAATCTATATCGAGCGAGTTAACACAGGTGGTAGTATCGTTAATGAAGTACTTAAAGCTCTACGCATGATAATGAAACGTTTATTCTAGTCTACTCTACTTTACTAGTCATCATCTTGTAGGCTCCTGTATTAGAGAGAACTGGAACTGTTTGAATTTTGTTCCATAAGTTTGCACGAAATTGCATCGCTCGAGTTCGGGTACCAGGAGTAAGATTTCTGCAAACGTAGTATTAAATCGACATCATCGTGTTGAACTTTCCAGTTATCTCTCTGCTGTTGGTCTATGTGTTTCTCTCTCTCTCTCTCTCTCTCTCTCTCTCTCTCCATCTATCTATGTATAGCTGTCTCTCTCGTTTTCATTCTCTTACTCTCATTGGTAATCACCACTTTGCTCATCTTTACCAAAGAGATGGGTATATACTCATACATATTTCTTCCTCCTTCTCTTTCTAACTATACATATATATATATATATTTACTATGGTAGATGCTATTCATCTTTCATCGTTTGAATTTCATTAAACAATTCCTTAAGGTTATATAGTAGTGATGGTACTATTGCTGCTGCTGTTGGTATTCCATCGTAAATCGAACGAGCAAGCTTTTCGTATAAATATTGTACGTGCTGAGGAAAGATTTACGTCGATCACATTCCCAATGTAAAATAGTCGAATAAATCGTTCCCAATAATCACAGTCCTTTCAATTTCGCCCCTTCTTTTTATTCTTACTTCATATTTAACGAATTTATAATTGGATAGTTTAGGTTGAAAATGTTTGAAAATCTTTAGATAAATTCAGAGAAATAGAATATTTGTAAGGAAAATAAATGAATTTTTATGTGAATAATCGTGGTAGATTTATTTGTTTAAAAAAAAAAAGAACTTATATATTTTTAGTAAGTTTTATATTTTGTATTAATTGTTTTTTATTTTATTAAGAAACGAATAGTTTTTCTTCAAATTGCTCTTTTAATCTAAAATATCGTCTTTTATTTATTTTTCTCATCTACGTTAAGCCAAAAGTCATTAAACACATTTTCATCTTTTTTAATGAAAAAATTACTTTTTATTTTTTTTCGAATTTACTAATTATTATTTCGTAAAAAAAAGCATCAATGTTAATGTGTATAAGCATACTTTTTCGAAAACTGATTTATGCAATTACAAATTTATTCGAGGAGCAATAATTCGGATTAGCATAAATGTTGGTTAGTGACATTTTGGTTGAACATAAACGATATTTTCTTAGGAAGGATATATAAGTAATATAATGAGAATGGAATATGAGACATCGTAAATCGTAAATACGAAAAAAGAGAAAGAGAGAGAGAAAGAGAAAAAAGGGAGAAGAAAAGATGGCAGAAAGATACAATGCTGCAATATCACACGATGCGACTAACTGCAAATGAGTTTTTAATGTCTGGAATTTGCAGGTAAATAATACTTTAATGGCGAAAGAGAGAATGAGAAAGAGAGAGTATTTGTCTCGTGTAATGCGTATCCCTCGAGTATCCGTTAGCACACTTATTTTTCAACGACTATAAGTGTTCTATCGTTATCATCTAAAGTAAAACGATCAAATCCTTTTTATTGTATAATTTCATATATATACATATATATACATATGCTGTTCTGTGCATATAAAATTTAATATCAATTTAAATATTTAATTATCCTAATGTATGTTATTTTGTTTGTAAGAATTTTGAAATATTTTATTACAAAAAGATATTAATATTTTTTTTTTTTAAATCAACAAATGGGAATACGAATATTTCTGTTATTCATTGTAGATTTTACAAATTATTTCTATATGCATAATTAATATAAATATTTGAAAATAATAATAATGTATGCATGCCATGCATACATACATACATGGATGTATGCATGTATGTGCGTTTAGGTTTGTGTGAGTCCATATGTGTTTGTGTATGTGTTTATGTATGTACATCGAAACTCGATGAACTTTCAAACGATTCAAGTTAAAATCGTAGCACGTACGTATATATGTATGTATGTATGTAGGTATATACTTATAAGTATATATGTACATAGTACTAACGTTCAGGAACGAGCTACTACTTTCTACGAGTTCACTTAGCACCGCGGTTATTTTAATTAAACTTCGAAAGTTGGTCAGTGAGCTGGGTTGCGAGCAGTCGATTGAATTTCCAGTCTCCTCGTTGAAGTCAGGAAGGGTCTGAAACAAAAAATATAAAATTTCTTTCTACTCTCTTTCTCCCTCCCTCTTTCTCTTTCTCATTCTCTTGTCCTCTTTTTCTTATTCATTTTTTTATTTTTACACTTTAATAATTTTTGGTTTTTTTTTTATCACGAAACTAGCGAAAAATCAAATCTTAAGTCTCTCGATTTTATTTTGTTAATGTAATTAAAAAAAAAAGAAATTAAATCAATGCAAATATGGTACACAAGTACGTAACGAAAACGTTTTTTTTTCGACTCTATATTTTGTCTTACATTCCAATAAATTATTACTAATTTAACGAATAATCAAAGTTTAATTTTCTTCATTCTTTTTAGTATAATTAATTTTAAAAATATACCACATTACAGATTTGCAACGAAAAAAAAATGTATTTCAAATCTTCATAATGTCTTTTTTTTTTTCCTTACACTCCAATAATTATTAAGCAGTGTGGCAGTTGGTGAAAAATCAAAGCTACTTCTCTCAATTCTTTTTTTTTGTAATAGTTATATCTTTTCCTGTCATTTTATTCTTATTTGTTTTTTGTTACACTCCAATAATTTGTCAGTCGTGTAGATCGTTTTGTGAAAAAAATCAAAGTTCACTCTGAATTCTTTAAAGTATATTCTATATAACCCCCAACACAAATATGTATATACACGTATATACATATACAAACTCTTGTAGCCTAAAATAAATAAATATACACAAAACATACACACCAATAGACATATAGAGGATGGGTTTATTGTCTCCTAAGCCAAAAGAAGCAAAATTCATTGGAGAACACGAGATATGGTCTCTGTTAACCGGCGGGTGCACCTGAAAACTGTAACTGCAACGCAACAATAGAGAGTAACACAACAAATACATATTCACATACATACATACATACATAAATACACGAATTGCAATCTACTAGGAAGGAAAAGTACATGGGTGCAATGGCAATACTAGGTTGGAACGCTTTCGAAAACATATTTCTAGGAAATGGTTATAAATATTTTCAACCTTAACGTTACACTACTTCTATCTAACACACACACTATCATAATTTCTCCCATTGGAATAAACACAGGACCTCTATTTTTCTTTCTTTCTTTCTTTTCTTCGAAACTATAATACTATGGAACACATGTTCACTAATCAGTATATACATTATCCTTACGGTATAGTAAATACCTTTTGTCCGGTCTTCTCCTTTAAATAGCAAACCTACCCCCTACCAACAAACCACCCCTATTACTACTACTATTACTATTTACAAAGCAAAAGTTTACCATCTAGTTGTACACATATTCTCTACAGTTTCCTCTATTTATTTTTCTCTTCTATGTTATATTTTATTTCTTTCTTTTTTTTATTTTTTCCAATGATTATTTTTAGTTTTGTTACTCTGTTTCCCCATTTTTATCTTTTTCTTTCTCTTTCGTATGTTTCCATTATATGTAGTTCCAATAGTATAGTACAGATCGAAATTCTTTTGTATAGAATTATCAAACTAAACCTATTCTTTTTCTCTTTCACTCACATACTATTACACCAACAACATATG